GCATCATCTAAACCGTACGACTTCTCAAAACAGGTCACCGTTTCATATTGATCTCCTTCCATTTTAACTGTCATCGAAAACTTGAGTAATGATTGAGCAGTGAAAAGTGTGCAGTTTTCTGGACAAAACCATCTCTATGGTGTCAAATGAAATTCTTCTTTTTTTTCACCAACGAATGTACGATACTTTATCACTGATTCAGTATAATTCGTTGAGTGCTCTTAGAGCAGATGAATGGTATTCAATGCTATGATGTTTTGCAAACTTAGAAATATCCATCTGAATGTTGTGAATTAAACGATTACGAGAATTTCGTTCACTTGCGATTTGCGGCAAGAATCCTGATATTGCATTTCATGGCAATTCTCGCTGTATTCATATTGTCGTAATGAAGTCAGAAATTAGGTTGTACAGAAAGTAATAAATCAATTTCAGACTGTTACGAAGCGTATTAACAAATTGATCCCAGTAATGTTGGAGCATCGTCTAAAATCACCACCCAAAGAGGTTTATTCGTTACATCGGAAACTATCCGGTGCGTATTTGCTGGCTGCGAAACTGAATGCGGTCGTCTCATGTGGCGCACTTTTTGAGTCGATTTACGATGCGTATGAATTCGGCGAAGAGGGTTTTGAAGATATCGACATTGATAGTGTGAACGATAGTGATAACCAAATCGGCGATTCATCCAGTGATAATACTAGTGAATCTCAGCAGAACGATGTGAAGAAGTCAACCGCTTGATGCTCTCTCATCGATACCTAGTTTCTGCGTGCTCTCAACAATGCATATATCTTTGTATATCTCGTATTTCATCTATACACCATTCTTTGTTGTTGTCTTCAGACAAACAGTTTAGAAAAATCCAGTAAATACCTCTCATTCATATTGCATTACTGCTTAAGAATACTTTTCATTAGGTATTATTTCATTTGAAGCTGAGAATGTCGAAGGAAACAAAGCTGAACAAGAGGATTTCAATGCTTTTGATTATCTGAATCCGTGTAAATTTATCCACTAAATAATGTTATTTATGTTTTGCTCTGTAATGAATTTCGCGAAGTGATTTCTGAAGTGCTATTCAGGTTTTTTTTTCAGCTTCTAAGAAAGCAAGTTTCCGTCGATTGAATGAATTGCTGATTTTCAGATTTCTTGTCAGATTTGTGTACACTTATTCATTTGCTAAAGTTTGAGTGGAAAGGTTTTCACATTGTGGTGTGATTGTCGGATTGGTTTATGA